TTGTCAAGCTACTGCTCGATACAGGCAAGGTCGATGTCGATGCGAAGGATAGCGACGGACGGACGCCGCTGTCGTGGGCCGCCGAGAAGAGCCACGAGGCCGTTGTCAAGTTACTGAGGTCCATAAAGTAGGGTGTTGAATTCCATATGTTCCGTCATAGCGTGGCACAGGAGAGGTCTGGGGGACGGTGCGATTTTGTAGCTATTTTCTTCTCTTTAGAGCCTTCTAATGCCTTCCTGCGTTTAGCGAGCGCTTTGTGTCTGCTGTGATCTCTTACGTCACGCTGGTCGTGGCTGCTCCACTCAGATATGGTCGTTCTCGATCGTGTCAGCAGGTCGTTCCAGACCTCAGATCGGATCGATGCGCCGCGCCCCGCAGTGGGGCGCCTGCGCTGCTACACTTAGAGCCCGAAAAACCCGCTAAGCTCGCCGAACGCGAAGAAGTACGGATCCGTACGGATCCGTACAGTAGGAAGGAGAGAGACTTTCAGTCTCCAAAAACGAAGCTGACAACACCAGGGATCAGCTGACCGGCCCAACTACTCATCTGGCCCCTAGAAGCTTATGTTCTGGGGTACGAAGGGTCAGAAAACAGGGGGTTTTCGGGGTCCAGAAACAAGCGCCTCTTCGCCCCTGTTAGTGTCGTCCGTTTGAAGAAAACGGTGAAGCTGGCTGTGCCCTAGATCCGTTCAGGCTTATGCAGCAGGCGCGACACAACAGCCAATCGAGCTCTGCTACCAGGCGCCGCCCCGCCCATCAGCCGCTGGCGCACGGGCCCTACTTTGGTATCGAGACCCAACCAAACGCGTTTGCGGCCTTACTGGATAATCCACTTTTTTCCATGGTGCAATTGCCGGCTGTCGGCCGCTTTCGCGTCACAAGTGTGTCAAAAAGCCGACATTGGGGCCGGGCCTAATCCCCCTTTCGCGGTGGAAGTGCGCTCGACGGCCGCAACGGCAGGCCGACCTACGGTCTTTGGCAGCCTAAGGAGGCCGAGCCTCTCCCAAGACGCGGCTGTGTTCGCCGACCGCTGCGCGCAGGCGCAGGGCCGGATGCAGTCGGCGCTCCAGCACATCGAATCGGTCTTCGCTGTCCCGCAGCAACCTCGACGCCATCGCCAGGCAGCGGGTGATCGCCAACGGCCCGGATCTGCTCCATACAGCGTCGGCCGTTACTGAGGCGACTCGACGCTTGGAAAACCAAAGACGCGCCAACCAAAATCACACATACTGTTATGTTTTTTTCGCAGTTTGACCCAGCGTTGTACACACACACACACACACACACACACACACACACAAACAATTTATTCCGCCCGGTGGGCTTAACCGAAAGGGCAACTAATACTCATTTAACCTGAGATGCTTACTCGCGTTGACGCTTGGCCTATCCATTACGCCGCTAGCGAAGACTTGTTGAGGGTCGGGTGAGCCAACGCTAAGACAACCTATGAAGACGGGATATAAGGAGCCTCCAGGGTAGACGAGCATCTGGGATTGAGACTCGATTAGGGCGAGGGAGTGGTTTTGCACGATGCGGCCCGAATCCAGGTCGACTATGTCGATATACATGTTGGCGCTCCCGAGTGCTTTGAACACGGCGTTCAACTCTTGCGTTGGTGGTTTGTAGTCAATTCGCTGGGCGGGGCCCCCTGACCTGGATGCCGCCACTGCCTGGTCCTTGAGGTAGGAGCCCAATGCGCAGTGAGGTACTGAGTTGTTTAAGGCGCAGTAATCAGACGTGGTGAAAAACGTCTGCCACATTCGACCCGGGAACAGAGCGATCTTGGGCTGGCCGCCAATAGAGACCCCGACGGCGTTCCATGGTCCGTCCGGGCCAAACGCCTCGCGGGCCCGGACTGCCTGTCTCGGCTCGGCGGCGGCGAAGCGAGTGGAAGGAGAGAGAAGCCCACAGCAACGAGGATGAGGAACTCGAAGAAGGTATCATGATGGCCTGCTAAGAGGACATAGAAAAGATGTGGGTGAGAAAAACAGAGAAGAGCGAGACGGAGAAGAGGGGAACAGAGAAGAGACATCAGAGGAGAGGGAAACAGGGAAACTCGACGGGCGAGGCAGAGGGAACCCCTCTAAGAGAGGAAAGCACCCAGTCTCGCACATTCTGATGCTGGTGATGACCCTTGGCTAAGGTGCGCCAACGCAGTTCAAGTGCTCGCCTCGGTTGCTGTAAGTTGGTTCCAGAGTTGGTTTGCGGTACCAGACAGCGACTGCAACAAATGTCGCCAATGCAGCCAAGGCACAGACGAGCGATAACTGGACAAGTGGAATCATTGGGATGTCCTAGGCGCCTGATTTGATTGACTATCTCCTAATATGGCAAAGACTCGTCGTTGCCGCCTAGCCGCCCGCTGTTGGCGCCAGCCCCCTGGACTGGTCCAGTCCAGTTTAGAACCGGCCAACGGCCGTTTTATTAATAAAGTAGACGACGGCCCTTGCGCTTTGGAGAGCTGGCCCCCAAACCCGGCCGGGAAGCGCCGACTCGCTGACGGCTCAATCGAGATTCATCGACGCTCTCACACACTGACATGTTCACACTTCACTTCACAGTCCACCCCCCCCCCCCCCCCCGGCCGTGTCTTTGCTACCACTTTCTCAGGGAGAGCTTTCTCTCCATGAGCTACCTTACTTGCCACCTCGATCTCTGCCTTTTGGGGAACTTTGACTTCGGGGTACGACACCGCTTAGCCTCAAATATGTTTATGTTTTCAGCCGGCGCTGCACTTTTTTGCTCCGCGCTCGCGCAGTACCTCACCACGCGGGACGTTGAACTTGCATCTGAGATTCTCTGCTGGGTCATCTTGCCCGCGCTCATTCAGCTAAAGAACCGCTATGGGACTACTGGAACCACGAGCAACACGCTCCTCGTCAAAACCCCTAGCGCCGTAGCCTCGACGAGGGCCTGGTTGTTTGCCCTGGGACTAGCAGCCGCTTGCTGGTACCGCGCCGAGGAACATATTGTCGTCCTCTTTGTAAGCCCCCATCGCCGTTTGGAGGGCAAGAAGATCATGAATGGATCAGTGATACTAATATTTAAATTGGCTGCCAGCCGGGGTTAACGCCCATACTTCTTCTCTCCGGTGTCGTTCCCGCCGCCTCCCTCATGACCGACTCCAAACTCTTCTGGCCGCCGGTGACGGCTCCATGGAGTTCAGGTCTCATCGCCGTCCTTTCTTGTCTCGTCCTAGTGAGCTCCAGCGGCACTAGGCTCCCGTCCCTGGCCGTATGCGTTGTTGTGGTTGCTCTCCTTTATGGAGGCTACCTCTCCATTTCCAGGCCCGCGGTCGTTGTGGATCGCGATGCTGGAGACCATGGCGGCCAGGAGGGACCTGACGATGCGGCAGAGGGCGCTCAAGTAGAAGACGTGGCAATGCCGTTGGCGTTCCGCATCCTGCCACTCTTGACCGTTGTGGCGTGCGCGCGGATGTTGACTTCCAAGGAGTTGAAGGTGGCTCTTGTCAAGACGGTCGTGGCTGGATTCGCCAAAGCCCTGAATTGGTTTTTTACCTTGAAGACTGTACGTCTCGTCCTACGCGACTCAGCGCTTTCGTGAAGCTGTACGCTGATTGATCTGTTTAGATTCGACAATCATCATGGTGCTCTGCCAGCACCATAGGCACCTTCGCTATCACTTCGGCCCGCACACCCTCATTAGGAGACCGGTCGTTCTACCTGCACGCCGCATCCAACCTCGTCGCCTCTCTCCTCGCCCTCGGCCAAACCATCCACATGATTCCAAAGGGTGCTGGGCCAAGGTCACGACTATGGGTGCTGGGTGTCCTCCCCCTGAAGCCCTTGCTCGAAAATACATTATGTACCGCATCAACGCGTCGACGATGTTCGGCCCACGAGACCAATACCCCGTCGAAGTCCTTACTCGCACTGCCGAGGCAAAGTTTGACGCCATGTTGGCGCGGCAATCTCGCACCTACTCCGCTGCCGTGTTGGAGTACCGGCGGCGATACAACATGGAGCCGCCCCCTGGTTTTGAAGCGTGGTACAGCTACGCGGTGGCTCGTGCGTCGCCGATCATTGACGAGTTTGACATGATACACGAGGCCATCGCACCGTTTTGGAAGATGAGCGGGAAGAAGGTCCGGGAGGCCATGGGGGAAGCCAGTGGTGCGGCTGGCGCAGACTTGTGGCGGTGTATGTTCAAAGGTCAAACAGGGGAGACAAGCTGCAACCACCCGCACCGGGGTGGTACCCATATACAGGAGACGTTTGGGAGGTGGCTTGGGGGGTTGGCGGGAAAACTTCCGGATGTGGAGTTCCTGGTCAACCACCTTGACGAGCCCCGGGTGCTACTCCCGGGGCCAGAGACGGCGAATGACCAATCGATTCGACTGACGAACATAGCTCGAAGACCCATCTGGGATACGCTGACCAGAAGCTGCTCCCGAGAAGTCAGTAGCGCGAGCTCAGGGATACAGGGGGCGAGCGTTGACATCAACACGCACGGTTTACCGTTTGTAAACGGACACAGGCGCGGACAAAGACCTCTGCCAACACCCCGAGTACAGAGACATGCACGGTATGGCGATGAGCCCCTGCTCGTTTATTCTGGTGGACGGACCGGTGCCGGTGCTAACGACTGGAACGCTGACAACCGGGGGCGACGTGCTGTTCCCAAGTCCAGTGTACGGGGAGTACGGGGACGAGGGGTTTGTGTACAACGATACGCGGGACGTGGAGTGGGGCCAGAAGCGAAACAATTTGTATTGGGCTGGGTCCAGCACGGGGGCATACGCCGGTGACGATGGATGGAACAGGTATCACCGGCATAGGTTCGTCGCGTTGGCGCAGGGCCTGGAGTCAGGGAGGGAACACTGGTACCTCCGTCGTGGGCGAGACGGCCTCTTCCACCGGGTTGCCTCGTCCTCTCTCAACCGCGACCTCTTCGACGTGGCATTTACCGCCATCATTCAATGCCGCCACGACTTGTGCGAGTCTCAGCGTGAATATTTCGATGTGCGGCTCAGGGCGGATAAGGATGTGGCCCTAGGGTCGAAGCTAGTATTCGACATAGATGGCAACGGCATCAGCGGGCGTTTCGTCAAACTGCTGACGTCCCACTCTGCCGTTTTGAAGCAGACGATGCTTCGCGAGTGGCATGACGAGAGGCTCGCCGCGTGGGTGCATTACCTGCCCGTGAGCCAGGGTTTAGGTGAGCTCCCGGAACTGGTGAGTTGGCTGAGAGGAACGGAAGAAGGGAGAAGAAGAGCGAGGTTAGTGGCGGAACGGGGGAGGGAGTGGGCCATGAGGGCAATGAGGCATGAGGATAGGGGGCTGTATGTGTATAGGCTGATGTTGGAGCTGGCAAGGATACAGGACCCAGAAAGACAAGCCACGTGAGAGTAATCGACCTAGACATGACTGCGATCTCGTCGACATCGCCTAGAGCGGCGGGAATTTGTACGCTTGATACCTGTGCTGAGATGAGTAGGTCTTTCTTTTTATAAGTGGCTAGAACTTCAAAATTTGCAAGTACGGCAGGACGAGAGCAACCTGGCCAACATTCGAATGACCTTGGACAACGCGCGAGGAGGAGAGTCCGTTAGAAAGGAGAAGGCTCACCTTAACGCTGCCTGAAGAGCATCTGCTTGAGATGCCCCCCTGCATACAGTTGTCGTGCTTTCTGAACATTCAGCAAGCGCTCTTCTGACGAGAGGTTCTCAACTCCCAGAACTATGACGAGACTTAGGAATGCGGCCCAGGTGAGCGAGAGTCAGCCGGGGTCGAGAGCAGTTGCAGGACACGAAGTCCACGTGGGTACATACAGCATGTCTCCATAGTCGTCAATTTTCGTTTGGAGAGCCAAGTCATCCAGGTGGAAATTTACTACAAGGCTCAAACCACACACTTGCACGGAAGAGTACCTGTTTAGCTACATGATACAGAAGGGTAACTGCGGCCTGGACCTATACAGTCCAAATATCACAGTTGTTCCGAGCATTCCAATGCTCCGACCAGCAGTGCTGCCCCTCCGGATGTCTCATGTCACGCAAACTGTAGACCGCAGCCAGCTACTCCGAGTCCAATTGCCCCTCAGCCACTCATCATCCTTGACCACAAGGTCATTTACGTCCACGAGCGACGTTCCGAGATCGAGCAGCTCTTTCGCCCTTTCGTTGATCCGCTCCTTCGCGCTTCTGACGATGGCCCAGTGGTACTCCACTGAACATTTGTTGCACCTCGATGGCGGCGTGCCTCCCTCCGAGGTCGTAGGCGGCATATACCTGAGGTATTCAAGGCCAGGACAGCGGGCGAGGTTTTGTGGTATGAGGTGTGACTGGGGGATGTGATCGCACTCGTCGAACCGCAGTCTCTCTCGACACATCGGGCATTTGAAACCAGAAAGCAGGCTATCATTCAAGCTGCTCTAGATGTGACATCTCTTGCAGGCGATAGTATAATGATGACAAGATGATGATCGCATGATGACAGTATGCTTGGGGTGCCGTGGGGGTGCCGCCCGGCGGGAGACTCTCCGCATTCGGCGTCAAGGGTGTTCCCTTGCCAATTCCCATTGAAAGCTGTCCTGGTTTGGTGTCGCGATGGAGTAAGCCCTTCGATTGGATGCCATTGCGGTTGGCATGTGTTGGAACTTGCAAGGGCGACGACCGCTGAGATATGCGCTGGAAGAAGCTATTCCCGAGTCAAAGCAGTGGATTGAATTGAAGGGTGGTAAACCCCGCTGTGCCCGAAGGCTGCGCCGGCTCTGCGGCTGAACCGTTCAGGCTGATGCAGCAAGTGCGGCAAAGCGCGCCAATCGAGCCCTGCCTTCGGGCCTCACCGTTTTGCAATAAGTGAGCCAAATGTACGTTCCAGCATGTCGACTTGCAACTGCCCCTTTCCCGAAGAATCTGTCTGGACTGGCCCAACAACGCCGCCCGTTAAATATCTCGAGCCACGCAAACTTCAGGTCTTAAAGTCACTGTTTTCTTTAGCACCAACATCTTCAGATACGGTTCCTCCTCATGAATATCATCATTGTCACCCTGAGCAGCGGCACAACGGCGCCCACAAGACATTGGGCTGCCTCTGTGCCCAGGTATACCCCTCGGGCAGATGTACACCTTTCTGATGGTCCATTGTGGGTAATGCTCCACCGTCACGCCTGAGGGTACTTTCAAGTAGGCCCAAGAAGAGTAGTCGTCATGGTACTGGTCGGCGGTGTGTGCCACCTGCACTGCGTCCAGATATCGCTTCCGCTCGAGCCAGTTCTCAAGCCGGGGAATCTGGAAATATCGGGCCTCTTCCAGGAGGGAGACCCAAAGGTGGTAGTCGTGGCCCTTGACGACGTCGAAGAACAAGGGAAAGATGCCCCGGCGGAGGTAACGCAGGATGTGCTCGAAGAGGGCAGGGTCGGCGTCGATGAAATA